CATCTAAAAGCATCTTCAGACGCAGGTTCTATATCACTGAATACTGATTTAATTGATAACAGCCTATTGTCATATTATTCTAATTTATTTGATGTAAGGATTTAACATTAAAGATGACATACAAAAGGTAAAAAAAATAAAATAATAATAAATAAATAAAAAACTGAAAATCAATTGCCCCTTATGGGAAGGTTAATTTCTGACACTGATGACACTGGGTTATTGTTCGAAGTGTTATTTCAGGGTTTGGATATGTTCTTATAACTCAAACGAGTTCACCTTCAAATCATGACATCAAATTCACATTTCACTAAATTCAATCACTGAAACAAGCACTCTGACGAACAAATAGTCCCATGCCAGTGGGATAACAACATATGATTTCCTAAATTTCTAGACAGTGCTCTATGAATAAAACTCAAAAAATAAAAAATAAAATAGATGTGCTGTGAAGGTAAAGTGAAGGAGTCATTTCTTTTCATATCTGTCATATTATTTAAGTTCTTCCTTTGTCTAAAACGCAGCGTATTGTCTAAAACAAAAGTTATGACTGTATGTTCACATAAATTGATAGTCTGTGCGTCACTACAATACATTCTCCCCGCGCTGCAGTGTGTTGCGCAGTTTTGCCACACAGATTTTGATAGTTAGCTATAATAGATCAGGCGGTGAGCCAAAGGACCAAAGGCTCTGCCGCGGTACGGTTTGTGTCAAGCCATTCATTAATCTGGCTGTTTGATGAAGAGAAAGAGATAAAATGTAGTAGAAATAAACATGTTAAGAATCAATAGAAGCGGAGGACTATTATTGTTTTTTTTTTTTTAGGACTATTATTATATTGTAATGTTTGGTTGACCAATCAGCGGAGAGAGGTGTTTCATTCCCGCCCACATGTAGAGATCGAATATTCAAGTTTCTTATTCGTTTTCTATCCCTGAACGGAAAAACGAAAAATGAAGCCGCATTCTTGATTTTTCGTTTTGTTTGAACAATTGAAAAATGAAATATGTGCCGTTTTTCATTTTTCAGATTTCAATATTAAATTAAAAAACAAATGATCGGAAGATACTCTGATTTAGTGGGTAAGTTGGATTAATTTCTGTGACGTTTCTGTGATTTTAGAATGCTCCCAAGCATGAGTATGATTGTATTTGGTGGGCTATGACATCTAAAAGAGTAAACACTCTTACTCTGAGCGATTGCTAGGTGGTAGTTTACTGGCCCAAGTCAAGCACAACACAAATTTGTTGAAATTGTATGAAATTTTGTGATTGGTTAAAAATATTTTTACATTTTTTGGAGCCTTATGTTATTGTAAAGTCATACTAATTGAAGGAATTTGATGTAATCACTTTATAAACTGTCTAAATATACCAGTGTGTCTGTGAATTGTCTGGTCTGACCACAGAGTGGTTGATCCCTCCCGGTTCCAGATTCTGTCTGGAGCCTTTTAATAATCTCAGCTATTCAACTCTCCGGTCACTGTTTATGCTGTCCACAGTAGAAGGTTCCTCACTGTTCCAGATGATCTTACTATAGAGTCTCGTGGTGTTGTAACACTAATGGAAAATCGGCCTAGTATCTGTTTACAAATTTCAGCTTCAGCACATACTGTACACATGAAGAAATGAGGACTCTCTGCCATCCAAATTCCTTGGTCAAAGATTATGTGTGCAAACAAAACACTCCTTTATATACATTCAAAGAGTTCTTTTATCAAACACTAGTGCCATAATTGAAAAGGAAATCCAGTTTATCATGTGCCAGCCTCAGTAAACCCACCAGAGATTTAACCTGACCCCAAATCAAGCCGGTTAAGATGGGTGAGCGTCGAGGTTGAAGGATTCACAAATACTTTTGGCACTGCTACATGTGCCATCACCTGCCATTTTCCTGGGCAGGATGTGACCACAAAATCGCAGATGGAAATAGCACTCGCTAATCCAGTCATCCAAAATCTCCTATTACGCAGCTGATGCCACCACATTTGTGGGGAACACCCCTCTGGATCCCCGTACTGTTGTCATTTCTGCATGCAAAATAGATTAAGACAGATTTGATATAGAACTACTGATGTGTATTCATACGTCCTGCATGGTTAGATCCAAACTGGGAGCTTTTCATCACTTCTGGGACTTTTTCTAAGTAGATTACTATTTGTTTGTATTACTGTTATTCTTGCTAAAAGCGGTCTGTGCATGTGCTTTATATCACAAGTTTGTACAACAGCCACATATGTTTGGCTGGAGTTGTAGAGACAGGAAGACAATCATGTATTACTCCAGCCAAAAAATCCTGGGCACTTTTCCATATGCCTTCTTCACACTATTGGGCTTGCGATTTTGTTCATAGAAAGTCGAGTCTGTCCACACTGCACATCCTTGTAAAAAAGTCTGTTTTAAAAAGAATATTCTGGTTTTATTTGTTGTGTTTAACCAAAATATATGTTCAGATTTTTGATTGACATGATGAAAGCATCAGTCGGTATGGAAAAACAACATTGGAAATGCATGTTAACAGAAGATCGCAGACAAAAGCATTGGAAAGAAAACTCTAATTTGCTTCGGCCATGTTGGGGTCGGCTGGGGTGACCAGTGGGATGTATGTTGAAAAAGAGTCATAATTCCCACATGACATTAGAGTATGTGATACTCTAGTCTAGTGCATATGACAGCACTTTGTACATTCATCCATACTCTACTGTCACTGTTTTTGATTTAATACCTAAATTCAGCTTTGCCATCAAAGCAATGAATTACATTTTAAAATATATTAAATAAGTAGGGCTGCACGATTATGACAAAATCATAAATTCGATTAATTGTGCAGCCCTATAAATAAGAAAACTATTTTTTTTTAATTGTAATAATATTTCACAATATTACAGTTTTTATTGTATTTTTGATCAAATAAATGAGGCCTTGATGAGCATAAGGGACTTGGGTGCTTTCATTTTATGGAAAAGAGCAACATCGACATTCTGCTGAACCTCTCCTATTGTGTTTTACAAAAATAATAATAATAAAGTCAAAAGCAAAATAGAAAGTTTGGAACAACATGATAGTGAGTAAATGATAACAGAATTGTAAGGTGAACTATCAACTTTATTGTTACTAAAGTGTTGTTTTTTGCCCTTTTTGGCAGTGAGCAAACACAGTCACTTGAAGGACTTGATGCTGGTGGTGTCTATCGTTATCGCTGTGGGGGGCTGCTGGTTCGCCTACATGCAGAACCGGAATTCTAAGGACCATGTTAGCAAGATGATGAAGGACCTCGAAGGGCTTCAGAGAGCTGAGCAGAGCCTACTGGACCTGCAGCAGAAGTAAGCACTCAGTTTGTCCCTGATTGTATTATAAATTAACAGGAAACAGGCTTACAGTAAATAGCAGCTAACAGGCCGGAAAGGCTTTAAAGTGGAATCGTGAGGCTTATATTTCATGATGCACAGTTGAAAAAAATGTTTTCTAAATCTTATTGAGGCAGGACTTCATTTCTAGATGGAGGAAGGTCTGTTTGTAAGTTAGCAATAAATTCCTGTGGTTTGTGAAGTTTGAAGAACTCAGCTAGGTAAACAATCTTTCACATCTCAAGCAAAAGAAAAAAAACAAGATTTACTTTTTAGCTGGTCATGACATCGCAAGATTGCTAAGTGATTCTGTCAGGACTAGTCTCAGTATGTATGGAATGTGTAATGTTATTTCAAGTAAATGCTCTTCAATAAAGTTTTTATTCATCAAAGTATCCTGAAAAAAAATTAATCCACAAAAATATTAAGCAGCACAACTGTGATAATAATAAGAAATGTTTCTTGAGCAGGCATGCAGCATATGAGAATGATTTCTGAAGGATCATGTGACACTGAAGACTGGAGTAATGATGCTGAAAATTCAGCTTTGCATCACAGAAATAAATTACATTTTAAAATATATTCAAATGTAAAAGTTATTTTAAATTGTAATAATATTTCACAATATCACTGCTTTTACTGTATTTCTGATGAAATATTCAATTCAATTCAGGTTTATTTGTATAGCGCTCTTCACGATACAAATACAACTTTACAGCAAATTAAGTTTCTACAATATTTAGTAGTAGCTTATCAGTGGTGACTGTCAGTACATATGTACATATGGCAGAAATGTATGGAAAAAATCTAATAAAAGCAATCTTGGTGAGCAAGAGCATAAACTTCTTTCAAAAACACCGGTATATATTGGCCATTCTCCATGGCAACCATTCTTAATTAGATAAATAATTCTTGAAAAGTTCATGCTTTATTGAAACACTAATGTTAATGTTTACAAGACAAACTACTAGGGGTGCACGCTTTTTAGGTCTAAAGTGACTTGTAACAAATCCACGCTGTTTTATTTAAAGGGGTCATGAACTGCCTTTTTAAAATTATTTTGTACTGTTCTCTGAGGTCCATAATGTTATCAAGCTTTTTACATCAAAAAACATCATAATTTAGAAGTAATAGGCTATTTTCTGTTCTGTTTTGTCCCCCCTCATCGGAACGCTCTGTTTGAATAGGTGTGGCAGATTGTAGACTCAGAAGTAAACGCCCACTGCTATGATTGGCTAACAGTTGTGTATGTTTGACAGCCTACATTACCAGTGTAGTAGATAGCTGCTGTGATTTAGGTTAAAAACGCATAAATACTCAGTACATATCAAATGATCTGTAATAACAGACATAGCAATAGTGACCACATAATAAAAACAGTTACTCACACTTGTGTGGTGCGACATTATACTGTCTGATCCAATATAGTCGCCACAGCATCATCTTTTAGTTTAAATATTTCTGAAAATCCTGCGTTGAATTGTGCCTTGTTTGCAAACGAATCCACTCTTTCCTAATGTTGAGATAAGAAGGATGACGATGCAAAGACTGTGTTTTTCCACAACTTGGCACTGTACTGAGTCTTGTTATTTTCGGAGCATCTTTATTGTTTGATTTCTGTGTAGACCTGTTTGCCTCTCTCGTTATTTACACTACATGCGCAAATCGGTGGGTGGGGCTAAACAGGCAGTGATGTAGAAGCAGGTGTTTAGCCACACCATTACATCATAAACTGGCACATTCCACAACCTGTCGTTTTGACAGATTGACTTCAATATAAGCTGTTTTTAGACTAACGAGAAAGTTTTGAGTTCTGAAACTTACAGGATGTTTTTATACATTTTGACATTTTATATGTCAAAAGATCAAGGGAATTTTGATTTCTCAGTTCATGACCCCTTTAAAAACAAAAAGAGGAATTTGTCTATATGGTGGAAGTGTTTTCATTTCCTACTATCTTTGTCTGTTCAGGTCAAAAGACTCTTGCAGGGTGATGCAAGCATCCCTCAAAAGTCCTTAAATGGCAAAAGGACGGGCAGTGCTGTGCCGAATCCAGCTCGGAGTGTTTCAGACAATCGCACTCTCATGCTGCACTCTCAGTTCAGCTGGCGCCCACTGCGCTGAGGCAGAACAGAGAACGTGACTCTGTCTTTTTTCAGAGGTCAGAGGTCTCAGAGAAACTCATGATTCAAACATCCTTTCTTTATGGTGCATCAATTTAAAGCAATGGCCTTATAAGGAGAAGGATGCAGTTTTGTGATCTATATTAGTTTGTTGAAGGAAAAGCGGTAGCAGAGGAATGTTTGTTGAGTGTAATGTGATTAAGTCACAGTGTAAGTATGACTGGTGTTATAGAGCAGCACATGGATCTGAGTGCGTGGCATTTCTGTCATATCCTTCACACTAAATGCCATTTGGAACAGAGACCAGGACACCTTGTTTCCACTTTGATCGGCACCACGATAGATATCTATCTATCTATCTATCTATCTATCTATCTATCTATCTATCTATCTATCTATCTAATCAGGCTCCTGAAGTCCCTCTTCAGTGTCTCCATCTGCCACAGTATGGTGTCGTTAACCCCCGCTTGAAGCACGACCACTCCGGTGCTCTCGTCGCCCTTCAGGATCGCGGGTATCTGCGCAGAAACATCGAGAACACGAGCACCAGGGAAACAGTGAGTGTGCACTTTACCTTCAGCTAACTTAGCACGGACGTGCCAGACGATGGAGTCTCCGATGATCTCAGCGTCGCGTTCCGTCTCTCGGAGGGGAGTGAAGCGGTTCCGGGTGGAGATCTCGAAGACCGGAGGTGGCGGAGGGGGAGAGGTCATCGCCCGGGGCCTGGCTCGCGTCTTCCGTGGCGGGTGCACCCAGGGTCCGTGGTGTCCCGGCACCGGAGTGAAGGACATCTGGGAAGATCGC